AGAGAGAGAGAGAGAGAGAGAGAGAGAGAGAGAGAGAGAGAGAGAGAGAGAGAGAGAGAGAGAGAAATGTTGAGTGATACAAGATTGGTTAACTACGTACCTGCGTTGAAGACATCGCTACGGCGAGAGAGAGAGAGAGAGGGAGAGAGAGAGATGAGCGATACAAGTTTGGTTGTCACGTACCTGTGACGTGTGCCGTGCAGTCCCACGAGGAAGAAGGAGGCGGCCATAGCCTCGGAGCTCGACCGCAAAGTAACGAAGAAAGGTGAAAGAGAAGACAGAGGAGGAGAGTGAGGAAGGTGAAAGAAGCCATAGCCGAGGAGGAGAAGGGAGAGGCGATCAAAAAGAAAACAAGAAAAAAAGAAAGAAGACAGCCGGGGTGAAGAGAAAGGAGGCGAGGTAGGGAGAAAGGAAGGAGAAGGGTGGTGAGGAAGGAGAAGCCGGCAGCCAAAGCTGCCCGAAAGAGTTGACCGAGAGAGTTGACCAGGCATTGACCGGGCGTTGACCGGGTGTGACCGGACGTTGACCATAGTTGAGCAGGGGTTGACCGGGGGTTGACTGCAGCGTTGACCCAGCGTTGACCAAGGCGTTGACCAAGGCTGTTGACCACGAGTTTGACCAAGTTGGAGCCGGTATAATCTCGCCAAGCCCTCAGCCTATCCCCTCGCCCTACGGATATGCACACACCCTGTGGTACTTGCTGAGTCAAGTCTGTCTGTCTCTTCTTTCTGCATTGAGGCTCTTCTGTCCAGGTGATAGGAACTCTGTGGATGAAGGATAGGGCCTTGTTGACCAAACCCACACGTGTTGAGTAGGGCTAAAGACTGTGTCTGACGACTCGACTGTCCCGGAGGACACGAACCCTCCCAAGGACCGGTACTGACCGGCGGGCTGCTCGGTGTGGTATGGTAGGCCCAAAATCCGAGCTGTGGGCTGCACAACAGGCCGTCTAAGTCTTGAGAAGACCTGCTGATCACGTCGTCCTGTCTGCGACGTTAAATAATTCCTGAGGAGTTACGGGGGATCTCCTTAAATGCCTCCTGATCAGCAACAGGTTTTGTAGTGACAGCCATAGAGTAGGTCTAGGTTTTTTTTTTTTTTTTTTTTTTTTTCCGAACAAATGCTCCAGTCTATTCGTGGGGAGCAGCACGTGCTGGAAACCGGGCCCAGCGTCCCATATCGAATTATACAGATCATTGAGAAAATTTGAGGTCTTTTGAGGACATTTGAGATACGGGGGCCATTACCCGGCTTCGGTTGAGAACAAACTGTGAAACAGAGTCCTACGAATGCTCACTACTCTCAGGTTCCCTGACAAACCCTTCTAAGACTTCCCAACACCATCTTACTCCCTGCTGAGTTCTTCCAGGCCTCACGCCCCCACCCTGCTGGGTTACAAGGCAACACAACTCGCCCTAGAGACCCTAGTTGACAGGATCCTGTTCGGATTCTGTAAGTCCTCAGATTGAGTCTGTAGGTTTGTCAGTGAGGGGGAGTACAGTCTAAGTGGTGAGGAGTGGAACCGTTATCCGGTTGTGCAGCAGACACCATGGTTGACACCAGTAGTGGGAAGAGTACTGCCCCCTCCGAGGTCGAGCAGGCCTGGATTGCCACCCTTTTGAGAGAGAGGAAAGAGAAGGAGTTCCTGAAGCAGGCGAAGTTAAAGGCTATCGCAGAGGAGCAGGCAGCGAAGAAGAAGAAGTTAGAAGAAGAGATGTTGAGATTCCAGAAGGAGACGATGATGATGTTAGAGCGGGAGGAAGAAGAAAAGAGAAAGGCTGCCGAAGAAGAAGCAGCAGCGGAGGAGGAGAAAGAAGAAGAAGAAGAGCCCCGTGAAAGAAGGCGTGGAGAAGAAAGAGGAGAAGCAAGTGGCACGAAGGGAGAAGACGCGTGGGTGGAAAAGAAGATTACAGAGTGGGTGGCTAATTTATCGTTAGGGGAGGATGAGGAGGCACAATTGTACGTGCCGCAGGAGGAGAGAGAAGCGTTTGCCAGGGAGTTGGAAGCGATAGATGATCCCCTGGAACGCCAGACAACAGAAGATGAAAAGAAATTGGAGTGGAAGCTGCGAATGATGAGGGAGAAGAAGAGGAGGAGAGAGGAGGCCAACAGGGTGGCGAAAGAACTAGAGAGGGTTCAAGCCTGTAGACAGGAGGTGGAGGCACAAGCTGAGGTCCCCGCAAAATTAGACAAGATTCTGGGGTACCTAGAGGTTTTGAGCAAGGCCTCGATAGAAGAGCATCTGGCCGTTAAGGGTCAAGATGTGACACTTCACGCCATTCGATCCGGTTTCAGAGAGTTTGCGCGCGACATGGTGACCCACGTTGGGTCCGAGGTTAAGAGGCTAAAGGAGGGCGTAGATAAGTTCTGCACAGACGCCATTGAAAGCGCCAAAGTGGTGGCTACTGCAGAGGCCACAAAGCGTCAACGCAAAAAGCCCGTAAAGCTTAAGTTCCCTGATGCCTATAGTGGGAAGAAGGATGATAGTTTTGACAACTGGGAGGCCGGCATCAACACTTATGTGTATTTACAGCATATCGCCCCCGAGGAACAGGTCCTCGTTGCCTTCCATGCGTTGAAGGATGAAGCGGCAAGCTTCGCCAGGTCCTTAGCGCGCGGCGCAGATTGTGAGCACAACATGATTGCGTATTTGCGGCTCACCCCTCTCTCCACTTTTCTCAAACTCCTACGTGAGAGGTTCGCTGACGTCACGAGAGGCGTCAGGGCCTCTGATAAACTCCAAACCATCCACTCACGACAGTGGAGGAGTGCGAAAGCACTCAAAGCTGTCATGGACGACTTGGTAGCCGTCCTGGACCACGGGGTCACTGAGACCCAGTTGGTTCAGTTGTTCTATCGTGCCATGTCGGAGCCCTTACGAGGGCACTTCTTTGACAAGACCCAGCAGCCCAACATCACGTATGATGCGTTGAGTAGGGAAGTGGTCTTGTTTGAGGCCAAGTCCATGCCAGTTTCCACTTTCTGGCACAAGGACTTAGATAAGGGAAAGAAGTGGAAAGGTCGTACCATCTCTGGCCAAGTCCGGGCCAAGGATCATCTGCTCCTTACCTTAGACGAAGGTGGTACAGACGAGGTCCCCTACAGTGAGATTGAGTGGGGACTTGAGGAAGAGGACAGTAGCATGGGTCAGGGGAGGTCTATGCAGTTGTCGCGGCTGGAGGGAGGCCGCAAGGTAGAGGAGGAGACCAGGGCCAAAGGGGCCAGGCCATGGGAGGCCGAGGATCGGGCACACAGGGGTTGGCGGTCAAGGGAACCGTCAAGCAGGAGGTAGGGGTCAAGGTCCCCCGCCGAATCGTCAAGGTCCCAGTCGGTCCCCACAGCGACGAGGTTGTAGGTCTCCTCAAAGGCCAGGAGGCTGGCACCCAGGTTGAGACCGGCCTTGGGAAGATCTGGGCCTTGACCAGAAAGTGTAGCAACAACGAATGGAGCAGGGGCAGTGCATTTACTGTGGTGACCCTGCCCATATCATAAAATATTGTCCTAAGTATAGACAGGCCCGATGGGCTGCCCAGGAGTCAAAAGGCAGCCGCCGGTAGGGGTTGCAACTGCCCCTACTATTAGGCCATGTGGGGAAGCGAGCGCGCGCGTACAGGAAACTCCCACACCACATGAGCCTGCGACAGAGGTTGCAGGCCCGTGCCTAGTAAGTTGTCCAGAGACTGCTTGTGTCAGCGTCTCTCTAGGCACGTCCCTCACAGGTGTGGCAGAGGAATTGAAGGAGAGGATGCCTGCTTGGGCCAAGATGAAAAAAAACAGTAAAGGGCAGCTAGTGTTAGTTGATGTAGAAGTTTTCAGGAGGAGAGTTGGGGCCCTTATAGATTCAGGCGCTACCCGTACTTATATTAGCCGGAGGGCACTGAAGAAGCTGAGGCTAGGATTGAAAGTCTAGAAATTGGAAAACCCCATAGTTAGTGTCCTCGCAGACAACCGCACGATGCGTGTTGAGGACTACATAGAGGGAGTCCAGGCGTATTTTCGCCTAGAGAAAGATGGGAAGGTGGAGAAAGTTCTCCATTCCCTGACTCTCCTCGTTCAGGATGACCTTCCTTTTGAAATAGTCTGAGGTCTGGACTGGGGAGAGGCAGCAGAGGCCACACTCCACTTAAGAGAGCATGACTGTAGGCTCCCTAGTCCGTCAGGCGAGGTTAAGACAACCCGTTTGTACCTTGTGTCAGGAGTAGATAACTCACTGGCACATTGCTGTCTCAGTGTTCCCGCGTTCGCGCGACTAGTGAGAAAGAAGCAATTAGAAGATCAGGTCTTCGTAGTCTACGTCAGACTTGTCACTGAGCCTAAGGAAGAGGATAGTTCCATGGATCCAGCCATTGCCAAGCTACTAGAAGAGTTTAAAGATCTAACAGAGCCTTCGACAGGAGTAGTGTCGCGACCAATCCAGCACAGGATAGAGATAGAGCCTGGCAGTAGAACTCCTAAGGGAGCAGTCTACAGGATGTCCCCTAGAGAGTTAGAGGAGCTGCGGAAGCAGTTGGATGAGCTCCTTGAGAAAGGTTGGATTAGGCCCAGTTCGTCTCCTTTTGGAGCACCAGTTTTGTTTGTTCCTAAGAAGGAAGGAGAGCTACGTATGTGTATAGACTATAGGGGTCTGAACGCTATTACGATTAAGAATGTTGAACCGCTGCCCAGGATAGACGATCTCTTAGATCGGGTGCAGGGTTGCAGATATTTCTCCAAGATTGATTTAAAGTCCGGATATCATCAGATAGAGGTCCATCCTGATGACCAGTACAAGACCGCGTTCGGGACTAGATATGGGCATTATGAGTTCATAGTTATGCTCTTTGAACTGACCAATGCGCCAGCTACATTTCAGCGATGTATGAATGATCTGTTTAGGCCTTGGTTGGATAGATTTGTCGTAGTTTACTTAGACGACATTCTAGTATTCAGTAGGACCCTCCAGGAGCACCAGGGTCATTTGAGGCAGGTCTTGGAGAAGCTGAGAGAAGATAACTTCAAGATTAATGCAAAGAAGTGTGAGTGGGCCAAGACACAAGTCCTGTACTTGGGCCACGTGTTAGACGAAGATGGCATTAAGCCTGAGGACAGTAAGATAGCGGCGATTAGGGACTGGCCGACGCTCCGCACATTGACAGAGTTGCGATCGTTCCTAGGCCTAGCTAACTATTACAGGAAGTTCGTAAGGAACTTCTCGACTATCGTCGCTCCCCTTCGCAGGTTGCTCAAGAAAGAGGCAATCTGGCAGTGGTATAAGGACTGTACGTCTGCGCTAAAGAAGTTGAAGCGCGCGTTAATAGAGTATCTTGTCCTCAAAGTAGCAGATCCGTCCTTGTCATTTGTCGTCACCACGGACGCGAGTCAGTATGGTATAGGCGCCGTATTACAGCAGGACGACGACAATGGCTACAGACCCGTAGAGTTCATGTCAGCAAGGATGCCCTCAGAGAAGGTTGCTACCTCGACGTATGAGAGGGAACTCTACTCTCTCAGGCAGGCTTTAGAGCACTGGAAGCATTACTTGGGAGGCACTTCAAGGTGTATTCAGACCATGAGACACTTAGATGGCTGAAGACACAGGCCAAGATGACACCTACGTTGACTAGGTGGGCCGCTGAGATAGACCAGTACGACTTTGAGCTCAAGCTTGTGAAGGGCAAGTACAATGTAGTTGCGGATGCTCTGAGTAGGAGGTCATACTACTTTGGAGCCATAGTTCACTATCTGGACATAGTCTGTGACCTGCAAGGAAAGTTAGACAGGCGTATGCGCAAGACCCTATCTATAGTGACCTCCTCAAGAAGGTTAAGGAGGCCCCAGAGACGGAGCCAGATTACCGCACTGCAGAGGGGTTATTATTTGAGAAGACTAATGTAGTAGTCCGCCTATGCGTTCCCAACAGTGAGGAGATCTGCAGTCTGATCCTAGGGGAATGCCATGATACAGAGGGACACTTCGGTTGGCAAAAGACTTTAGCCAATCTCATGCACGCGTACACATGGCCAGGAATGAAAAACGACTGCATAGAGTATGTCCGCAGTTGTAAAGTCTGTCAAAGGAACAAGACTACTACGCGTACCCCTCTAGGTCTTCTTAGACCCTTGCCTATTCCAGACCAGCCTGGAGATTCAGTCTCCATTGACTTCATGGATGTCGGTGTCAAGAGTAGGCACGGCAAGAGCCAAGTCATGGTTGTAGTCGATAGATTTAGCAAGTATGCTATTTTTGTTCCTTTGCCTGCAGAGGCACGTACAAAGTTAGTTATTCAGAAGTTTTTCGACTTTTGGGTTAGTGAGCATGGCGTCCCATTGTCTATTGTTAGTGATAGAGATACACGTTTTACTAGCCAGAACTGGCAGGAGCTGATGAGAGTTTATGGATCTAAGTTGTTGATGTCATCTAGCCGCCATCTAGAGACTAACGGTCAGACAGAGCAGATGAACCAGATCTTGCAGCAAGTTCTGCGTATGTACATTAGACCCGATCAGATTAACTGGGACGAGATGTTACCCAAGGTAGCCAGTGCGTACAATAACAGCGTGCATTTGTCCACCTGTCGCACTCCCAATGAATTGCACAAGTCCTTTAGACCACGCAGGCCGTTTGAGGGACTTAACCGGGATCAGACTCACAGGCTACCACCTGGTACCAGGGAGTTCGCGATACAGCACGAGAAAGAGATAGCCATTGTTGTTGAGAACCTCAGGAAGGTCCAACACCGAATTATAGAACAGGCTAGTAAACACCGTCACCCATTGCAGTTTCAGGTAGGCGACCTGGTCTGGGTCAAGTCTAAAGAGTTTGCGCCTGAGGAGAACATCTCGCAAAAGTTATTGCCCGCATATAGAGGACCGTGGCCAGTCCTAGAAGTTAAGGGCGGAGAGGATGGGCCGTCCTACACAGTAGAGATACCAGCACACCTCCATACCTACCCTGTGTTTCACGAATCAAAATTGCTGCCGTGTGTCACGAGTCAACAGTTTCCATCTAGGAGATCCATGATCCCTCCAGACATGGACGGGAGATACGACATTGACGGCATTGTAGGTGAGGATGTATTCAGAACAGGAGCTAGAGGTCGTCCGCAGAAGCAGTATAAGGTCCGGTTTGCGTACCAGGAACCGGAGGATGACCGCTGGTTCACTAGAGCAGAGCTTCTAGAGACAGCTCCCGATATAGTTACAGCCTACGAGAGAGATCAGAGAGGTAAAAGTCCTGCCTTGGACTGAGTTATTCTCGGAGGACCTCGAATTTAGGCCGGCGGGAGTGAAACGGTATTCACCAGTTCGCAGTGGCCGATGCAGATCCCAGGGCTCGATCCCTAGTCCCCACCTTACCTGTGTACAGTATCTGTGTCGACCCCTAGAGTTGAACCCGTGACGTGTGTATTTGTAACAGTTGGTAGGCTGTCGTAGGGTTCATAGGTAGCATGGTTCGATCTGTAGACCTGTCGAGTAGGAGTCTCAGTCAGGTCTAGAAGTCATAGCTGTAGCTTTCTCGAAGGGTCAAGGTCGTAGCTGCTACAGTCCAGAAAGGTCAAGGTCATAGCTGCTACAGTATCGAAAGGCCAAGTCTACGGCCTTACGGAAGGTCCGAGTAGTGGCCTTTCGAAGTTGCCCATGTTTACGCTGAGGCAAGTGGGCAAGTGGTGGAGTCTACCCATGCTGAGTCAGCAGTCCCAGTCCCAGTCAGTCCTGGTCCAGTCAAGCAAGCACCGCATGGGACTGTGTGCACTACGGGCATGGGACAGGGCCAGACCAACGAGCTGCAAAAGAATAAATCGAGAGGCAGCGCCCAGTCATTCATTCATTCCTGCGTAAGCCATGAGGAAGCGCTGCCATAAGCGACTTGTGCGAGGTGGTCTGCAGTGAGCCCGAGGACGAATTGGGCGAGAGAGAAGGAGCGTAGCCATAGCGATAGGGTAGTAGCGGCCATAGCCGCCATAGCTGTAGATAGAGTTCAGTGTGTGTGTGTGTGTGTGTTCAGAGTATAGCGTGTGGGATATCCAGGGTGATCCTGTGTATGCGAACAGTGAGTTGTGTGGGCGCTGAGTCGCCATAGCCATTGAAGTGAACCTGTATCTGAACTGTGTTCTCGGTTACCATATCTCGGATGCTGGGGGCTCGGCCTCCCGAATCGAAAAGGCTGGCGACACCAGGCAAAAGACGCAATTTTGTGGCTGTGCTGGTTCTGCAAAGCTTGGCATGCGGCTGAAATCAGCAGCAGAAAAAAGAGGCTCATACTTACTGCTGGCTTAAGTATCCTGAGAAGCTGTTTGAAAATAATAAGTGCATATCTGGTGCATGTGGTTGAATGGTGTTGAAAAACAGACCTGAGTTCAAATCCTCTGTCTTTCCCAAAAACAGGGCCTTATGACCTGGCCCCATTTCCCTTCGGGGGAGGTCAGTCTAGTTGCCTCTTTTTTTGTTTTTTTTTACCAGCAAGTCAGAAAGATACAAGATATGCTCACTGCAAGCGCTTCCCCATGTTACGGGCCAGAGACCCCTCAGTGCATTGATTACTTCTGTTGGCAAGATTGACTGTCATTTACGCCCAAACCAGGTACAGAGCCCCTCCATTACACATCATGCCCTTACAAAAACAGTCTTGGAAAAACAGACCCAATCTTGAAAAAACAATCATGACTGATCTGCTTTTCTGCATCTGCATAAAACACATCCGGATTCAGGCACATAATCCAATCCTCGTTGCTAGTGAAACCTCGTCCCAGGTTGCCTGCTCAGATCTCAGTCCCAACTCCTTTGCTTTAGCCAATCACTTCCTGGAGACTGCTTGGCAGGTTAGGAGCCAGAGGAGACTTGCATTCAATCTGGTCGCAATTCAGGTTAGATACATCCAAGTAAAACCCAGATTGAGTATGTCTTGATCGGTATGCTAAGAGGTACCCCCGTACATCGCCCGGTAAATTCAGTCTGGTCGCAATTCAGGTCAGAAACAAGGTAAATCCCAGTGTGAATATACCTTGATCGGTACAGTAACAACAAAAGCGGACCATAAATGACCACACTGAGCTCAAACAGATTTCTTTGCTTGGCTGAAGACGGCTATGTTCCTCCTCGCCACCACATCCCCACGGTCGCGCTTGCAAACAGACTCTCCGGTTCCCATTGTTCCTTGCGGGAGATGTTCATCTTCAGCACCACTACTCCTCTTATTGTGTACCATCGACGGGGTGCGCCACATCGTCGCTTGTCCAAGGATCAGCAGCCTGTTTGTTTGTCTGCCCGGATTCTCTCTGTGCATGCTCCACAGGTTACTGTGGTTGTTTAGTTTCAACCAGCCTGCAGACAGTCCACCTACCTGCAGGTAGCCATGGGACCATGTCCTATGCCCTTCAGTGTTAGATATTCATGAGTCATCTGTACAACAGGGAGGTCCCCGCCAGGGTACACTCCCGATTCCAGGGACAGTCATAGTCCCTACTACGTATGCAGCCCCAAACGTTGAGGGATTGAAACATGATTTGCCCAGATTGCAGTTAAACCCGCAAAGCGTAGACCACATGGGGGATCTGCAAATGGCTGACCAGCATCGATTGGAGGAACTGCAATATTTTTCCCCACCATGAGCAGACTACATCATTGGATGATTTGTAAATGACTGATCAGTAAACACCCCAAGACATTTTGGCCTTGCAACACCAGCTGCAAGGAATATGAGTGTGAACGATATACAGAAAAACCAAGTTGCGAAATCACACAGATGTCCAGGTAGTCGAGACCAGGCAGAGAGTACAAAATGCATCGAGAAACCATCCATGTAGCGCAATACAATGAAGTAATGAGCCAATGTTCAAGCCCGTAGGCCACACCAACACAGTATCCAAAGTCGCTCCTCTTCTGTCTGGCGCCCAGCGCCCAGCCTACCCTGCCCGACTATCCTACCTACAGCTGGTTCATGCAACAGGCTCACTTCGACTCTCGAAGACCAATGTACATGACTGTCAACACCATAGCCGACCTCTCTTCATGCACCAGGTACGTATCTCGTCACCCTCAATCAGACCTTGATTACCCACGCTCGCCTCCTTCCCTGAAGACCACCTGATCGCCCTCCTTATCCCCTGGCACCTAACAGCTTGGCTATGGCTGCCTGCGCCCCGCTGCCCTGCAGCGCCCCACCTCACCTCTACGCGCCCCGTCAGCGCCTTTGGCAGCAGCGCAGCATCAAGCGAGAGCGCAGCAGCATTTCCGCATTGCTTGCACTGGCCAGAATGCCTGGCCTGGGCTGCCTCAGCCTCCTGGATGCTGCGTGTGGCCTGGCTGGAAGCTTCCAGTAGCTTCCGGTTGGGCCTCAGACCCTGCGCCCAGGCCCGAGACTACAGTTGAGGGCCTGGGCCCTTTTCAGTTGGGCACGGCCTGAGTATTCAGACTTGGGCTGTTTGCTGCATCTGTGCAGGGCTCCCAGGCAGGTACGTCGGCAGTACTGCTTTTCCAAAGGCCGATGGCCTGCTTCCCAATGTATCGGCCCTGCTTTGTGTGTATGTGCCCAGGTGCAACTGTCAAGGCCTGGGCCAA